GGGGGGGGGGGGGGGGGGGGGAAGGTTGGTGTGGTTGGCGGGTGTGTGCTCAGTTGCAGCACCTGGGGGAACGGATTGGGGCAGGACAGAGGAGAGGAACAAGGGCGCTTGTGAGGAAGCTGGTGCTTGGTTAAAGCTGAGACCTCTCGGCTTTACCTACGCAGCTTTACTTTATTTGCTTTCAGCTTTACCCAAGCATGAGCTTCATGAATGGGGAAGCCCTTTGCCGATAACGGATTTTTCTTTTGCTTAAAGCTTCCTCCAGTAGTGAGTTCCCGCATTTATGAAGCTGATGCTTAGGTAAAGCTGAAAGCTCTCATCTTTATCAGCGAAGCTTCATCTTGTTCGTTTTCAGCTTTTACCTAAGCATCAGCTTTATAGATGGGGAAGTCCCCTGTTGATGGTGGTTTTTTGCTTTTCTTGCGCTTACTTTTTTCTTACTTATCTCCTTTCCGCCCATTATCCCTTCCCCTCTCCCCTACGTGGTCTAGGCAACTGCGAAAAGATTTGCGCTACGTAGCCCTTTCACCCACCCACTCTAAACCCCTCCCCTTGTATCGAATCCCACACCCAAAAAATGTGCTCATACATTGCCAACCCCTCTCTCCCCTCCCCTCCCTCCCCCCGCGTTTCGTGTGTCACCTGCAGTCCAGCCCCTCCCAAGCCCCTTCTGTACCCCGCGTATCCGCAACAAAAACCAGCAGCACGGATCCCCTTCCCTTGTGGGCCCATGAATAGTTTTCGGTTTATATTTTTATCTCTGTCTTCTTTTTTACTGCTGCTGGAAGTGTGCGGTTGAGGATCGGGGCAGCTGCTGGAATATGACAGAAAATTCCCAGGTCGATTGTGCGGTTAGTCTTGGTATTCTTAATGTGTCAAGTAAATAATCCTTACATTTTATAAGCTCGGTTACACTACACCAAATTTCTCTAATTTTCGACAGCTCGGTTTCCTCAATCTTTTGTTTAAACATTGTTTGCATTTCGTTCCTGGACAAAATGGTTCAATTCCTTGAAATATTTAATCGCACGCAGTAAGAAGATTTATCACAGATGTATTGTATAGCAATATAAGCAAAAGCATAAGCTCACTGCTTTCCTCTTCCCTCAACTCGAAATCTGTAGATCTGGGATTTCCCAGAACATGACGTCGCATCAGCTACAAGTTTTGAAATTCAGCTTCGCTTGCTAGGAGTTACATAAAACCTGCATTTCAACTCACAGCAGTTAGTGGAACTTGTTCTGGAATGCACCACTGCGCCTTTGTAAGCGAATGTGGGAAGGGATGAGGAGAGCGGGAGAGAGAGCGGTCCGGGAAGCTACGTTTAGATAATTAATATTTCTAACGCGTGAATAA